AGCGGTAAGCTGCTACCAAGTCCCCTCTCAGCCTTCTCTGTTTTAGGCTGAAGAGTCCCAGGTCCTTCAGCCTTTCCTTGTATGGTTTGCCATGCAAGTCTCTGATCATATGGGTGGCTCTTCTCTGGACTCTCTCAAGCTTTAACATCCTTGTTAAAGTGTGGTGCCCAGAACTGGACACAGTGGCAGCCACTGGTGGCTGCCAGTGTAGGTACAGGCCCCTACAGAGATTCCAGTGCTGAGTACAGCGGGAGAATCGCTTCCTTGGTTTTGCTGGAGATGCATCGATTGATGCATGCCAAAGTATTATTTGCCCTGCTGGTTTCAGCATCTCACTGCCGGCTCACATTCATGCAGTTGTCAATTATTACCCCCAGGTCCCTTTCATTCATAGTGCTAGTCAGTTTGAACCTCTGCTTCTCTCAGCCTCTCCTCATAAGTCATGTCCCCCAGCTCCCTAACCATTTTTGTTGCCCTCCACTGGGCTCTCTCCACTTTGTCCACATCGTTTCTGTAGTGGGGAGTCCAAAACTGGACACAATACTCCAGGTGTGGCCTCACCAGTGCCAAACAAAGGGAAAGAATCACTTCCCTCAATCTGCTAGCAATGCTCCTATTAATGCAGCCAAGGGATGTAGCATCAGACTTCAGCGCTGTAGGTTAGAGCATTGTGATGAATGTCTGTACCACACCCCATCCTGGCTCGTGGTAGGTCACATTCTGCCAACACTCCATGGAGCATTATGGCACCTTGCCCCCTTCCCCCTTACCCCCTTGTGGAGTGACAATCTAGCTTAGGCCAGAGTTTGTCTCCTCTGCCCAAGCACTGGGCTGGCCCTGCCCCCAGGCTTTCAGTGACCATTGGTGGTAAAGCCCAGCATAAGGAGATTATGCACAGGGTCAGAGATCACTTGGGATCCAGCTGTGACACTCCTGAATGGCATCAGTGCCACCTCCTGCAGAGAGACCATTTCCCTCCTGAGCCAGGGTGGTAATGCAGTCTACTATACATCCCTTCCAGGGACTACACCGGCCCCACTCCAGGGACTCTTCCTTCAGGCAACATGAGTCCCACAGTGGGGGCTCTGAATGGCGGCCATGGGAAACGCTTCACACTGTGCATTGATTGGAAGATGCTGAGGTGTGGGGGTGCCCTGGAACAGGAACTATATTCTGTAGGAGCTGCTGACCCATGGTCCATGGAGGCAGGAATTCTTCCCCGCTTCAGGGAGCAGCATCAGGGGGAGAAGTAGGGGACCAAGCTGCCCAAGACCTAATGCCAGGGCCAGCATCAACTCAACCCACCTTCCAGGGCCAAGTCACTACCCCTAGCCACTGGTGGCTGCCAGTGTAGACACAGGGCCCTACAGAGATTCCAGGGCAGGGGGTGGGAGCACTCAGAACAGGTGGGAGTGACCCACCAGGCCAGGCCACTGTGGGCCTGGGTGCTGCTGCAGGGGAGTGGCAGCCTCCATGCGGTGTGGCAGCCCCCTGGCCTCTGGTCCAAGTTCTGGAATGGGCAACAGTCCACAGTTTTTCTTTATTATGCGCATACAGAGTTTGGCAACTTTAACAATTAAACTGAGGGCAGCAGTTTTGCACATGGCATTCCCCCTGCTGCCCAAGGTTTCATGTTAGTTAAGCTGAGCCCTGTGGCTACCCACCCTCCTTCCCCTTTCAACAGCATAACTGCCCAGCGCAGCCAGGATCTTTCCCCACTGTCTCAACGTGAACTTAGAAGAGGGTTCCAAGTTCTGGAGTGGGCAGTGTTGCACAATTTTTGTTTAATAAACACACTACAAGTTTGGCAGCTTCAACATTTGATTAAAACAAGGCGCATTTCTTCCTAGTGCTGCATTCTGCTATACCCCATTGTGTGCCCCTGGAGGTATTGGGGAGGGAGAGGGGAAGAGGGGTGGTCTGGGTTGTGGGCAATGATGCCTGTGATGCAGGGCCACAGTACCCCAGGGCTAGAGACCCATGTCCAGTGCCAGGGCAGCGGCACTTGAAAGCCCTCCACCCCTACTCATTTGTGGAGGGCCCTCAGTCTACGCAGGTGAGCAGCTAGTTAGCCAGAGTTTCACGGATCCAAACAGTCTGCTGCTGTGCAGGGCAGGGGCCACCAATATCAGTGGGATGGGAATACAGGCATCTGGGACACACACTTGCGTACATACACACACAGAACCCAGGCATCTGTGGGGGACATGCACGTGTGCACATGTACACCACTCAGGCATCCAGGATGTGCCCACATATGCACATACACACATATACCCCCTAGGCATCTAGGGAACACATGCATGCATGCATACACACACACCCACGCACCCCTCAGGCATCTGGGGGGCACATGCATGTGCACACAAACACACACAGAACCCAGGCATCCAGGATGGGGACATGCATGCACGCACACTTGGCGAGTGAACGATACACTGGGTGGGCATGTGTAGGACAGCCAGCTGATGGCTTGTGGCCATGATGAGCTGCTGCCTGCTAATCAGGGGTGGTTCAGCTGTTCCAACACCACACGGGAGTCTTTGGGAGCCCGGGGAGCCCGTGTGCCATGTTGGGTGGCATGTGAGATCCCTGCTATCTGCTGGGCTTGGGTCTTACAGGCAGGCTTCGAGCCTCTGCTCCATCCCACAAGGGCTAACGTGTGTTTTACTTCCTCCCAACCTGGCCATGGGCACTTAGAGTAAAGCTTGAAAGAGCGCTTCTGCCACAGACTTCTTGAACATCCATACTCAGCCAGAGAGTTTTAAAAACTATAAACTTAAAGGTGATGGTGTGTGCTTCTTACACAGATGGCTTAGAAAGCTCTAGTGAGTTCTTAAGTCTTCAGCTTTCTAGAGGCTGTGAAACTTCCACATCTGACCAAAATTTTGCCTTAAATAGGAACGCACTGTGTTAAGAAAGACCACCCAGGAAACAAAAATCCTTTTTTCTCAATAACATGTTGCTGCAGAAGGTGTTTTGGTCCTGTTGAAGTGTTCTGTATGATGCAGAGATAATTGCCACTGTTGTAAAATGTTTTCAGTGAAAGCAGTTGACATGAAACACTAACTTACTACTACAGAAACTGAACTGTCAGCTTTGTTGTTTTGTGCTTTATAATATGTTGTATTTTTTTTACTTTCATTTTGTTCGATAGATCCCCATAGGGATAAAAAATGTAAATTATTGTGTCCTGTGCACTCAGATATGAAGGTAACATTTCATGTTAAAGCTACAATTTGTAATTGCCTTCATGAATTTTTGTGTAGGCATTTGGGGGGAGTTGCCAACACTTAAATCTTGCAAAAAAAGTCTGTATGTTTTTAGGTCTACATTAATTTATTCTCTGTAAAGTCTGAAAAATATGCCCTGCATGGTGGAATATACGGTAAGTGGGAAGGAGGAACACTTTTCAGTGGGGTGCTCTCCCTTCTGGGTGATATCTTATGCAGCTGTCAGATCCTCATATTTCTGGGATGCAAAGTGGATTTGTATAATTGTACATGTATTCATTATGCCTCTTTCTTAGCACACCCAAGCTCCTTACCTCAATGAACTTTCTACCTCCTACACAGTGGTACAATATAGCGCACTCTGTGCAGGTTCCCTGGCATCTCGCTCTGCTACATCCGAGGCCTTGTGCATTGGTCCTGGTTTCATAGGCATAGTGTTTATCAAACTTTGTGTTTGAATTAGCCCAGTGCCTAGAGTAATTAACTAGCTAAGGGGTTTTCTGCACTCTTGTTCTTGTACCAGGTTCTTATACAACTCATGCAAGATGCAGTGGCAAATGGATGGCAGGTGGCTTCCTTTTCTGCCAAAATGTCCAGCCCTGAATACAAGAAAACAGATGCATACTGTAGGCTTCATTAGAAGCTCTTCCTCATTGCCTGATCAGAAAGAACTCTCCAAAGACCTCTATAGTAGCATTCCCCACCACAATCCCCCTTGCCCTACATTTACTGTTTTTAAAGGACTGATAAATGCCATTATACTTCTTACTCAAGTTAAATGGCTACCTGAATGATATCAAAAAACTAAAAAGTTATTCCAATGTATGCATTCACTGCAGAGTTTTGAATGCAAACACAACCATGTTTTGCTATTGCAAGTGTTGTCAGTCATTTCCATAATACTGACCCATAACAAATAGATTATTTTACAATCCACCTTTATACCCATTCATGTCTAGAAAATACCTCTGAAACGACTACAGCAAGTGTTTACATGGAAAGCCATTAGCAGGAAAAGAGCTTACTCTTAGCTTTTTATTACTACTAATAGTTGGAAACAAGGAGCAAAGTTAACTCTAAGTGACCAGCCTACAGCCCAAGCACCACAGTTTAGTGGTGGCATTAGTTTATTCAAGTTGAGGTAAAAAAACCTTGCTACCTTGCACCTTCCCTGCCCCATGTTGCTAAATGAAGGTTTCATCTGAGGGGAGTGAGTCTTAATGGGACATGAAGAGAAAGGAGTTTTGTTATGTAAAAGGCTGAGAGTTGCTATTCCAGTCCAAGAGAATGAAAACGTGAAATTGCTCAGTTTCACCAACCAAGGTAGTACACTGACAAACGGCAACAGCGTGAATGTTGAAAATTAGTTGCACCTTTAAATTCTTCCCATTTATTGACCTAACAGAGAGTGTAATTTTTTTCTCCAGTTGTTACTTTGTGCTATATGCCCCCCAATAACCATTCCCAGATGAATACACTAAATTACCAAAGTGCATCACTAATATTTACATATTTGTATTTTATACGGATGTGGCTGTCAAAATGGTGACTGATATGAATGTACGGTAATTAGTGACTTGTGAAGCTTACAGGCTTTCTTTCCAAAACCTGTTTGGTTATGCACACATGCCTGTGGCTGGTGTCATTATTTCAGCTGAAATCAGCAGTGCTTGCCCACCGTAGGCATGATTGATGCGTATTCCAGGTAAAGAAAAATGTTGCCAAGGAAGAAAGTAAAGAGTGATAATTACTCTTGTTTTCATGCAGGTGTATGCTACGAGTCTTGGATTCATTTGGGACTGAACCAGAGTTTAATCATGCTCATTATGCCCAGTCTAAAGGCCACAAGACACCATGGGGTAAATGGAACCTCAATCCGCAGCAGTTTTATACAATGTTCCGTAAGTATCCTTGCTCTTACAAAAACACTTTCTAGAGCTAGAGTTAAGCATTTCCACTGAAAGAATCTTTCTGTCAGAAGCAAGCTTATGCTCCAGTAGAATGAGCAGAGGAAAGAGGTTCCGAATTCTGTATTGACTGTATCAAATTACAGTATACCCAGTGCAAACACAAAAGAACAGTATTAATGCAATATAAATAATGGTAAGGAGGTATATTCTAAAGGTCACAGCTGAACGCTGTGATTGAGCTGCTTGCCGCAAGCTTCTGGAGTTCATTTTTGTTCAGCTTCAACTTCTCAAATCCTTCTGTAGAGTGATTGGTTTTCTGAAGTGGTGACAAATTCCATTTTGTAGACTAAATTACTCTTGTATTTGATTGAACTAAGCCAGAGGTCTTGGAGCTTTGCTGTTTTATTTCTGCCTTTTTCCCCAAGTCTTGTCTATAATTGTCAGTGTGATGCTTTCCCTATTTCTCTTTTTTCAGAATTCATCAAGTGGCAATCTTTGCTGCTCAACATACAGAACTTTGCATCTGTAATTTTCTTGCAGATAGCTTCAAGGTTTTCACTTAAGTTGTTTTTCTCTTATGAACATTTATTCTGAAATGAACTGTTTCAGAATACTTCAACCCAATATCAACAAAGCTATGAAAGTCAGCACTTGGGTACAAGGTAGCTTAACGTTGCACAGATTAACTGCCATTAAAAAGCTATGTTGATCAGTGACTCGGAAGTTTTTGGACCATAGAATGTCTGATGTGTTTCTCAGAAATAAGTGTCAGCTAATTAATTGTTGGATATGGTTTGATATTTAAATCATGGGATAGGCAGCCATGACTTGTAAATTCTATCTCTGTCTCAGCAGTAGATTCACTTTTACATCCCTAGGAAGGCTTTTAACATCTCATAAGCCTTTTTTGATGAGCAAATATAGGGCACGCATGTTTAGAGAGGAAAGAACACTTTTTTTTCTTAGGCAAACTTATCCATCTTCCCTACATTGTCTCCTTTTGAACATAGCAATGACTTGCCTGATGAAGTCCCAACCCATGCTGCCAAAGAAGATAAATCTTTCGTCATCCTCCCCCCAAAAATAGATCCATTCAATTATTTCCTTTATGATACCAATTTTATGTGCAAGTTGCTTGTCTGCTTGGTTTTAGAAATGTGCAGATTTCTGATTGTCTGAAATACTAGATGTGTGTTTTTTCTCTGGGCAAAGAAAATTAGCTTTTCAATAATGGTAGTTTGTTTCTTTTGTATCGGAAAATTCTGAATGCTAGAAGCTGCTTGGGGGGAGGAGCAGAGGGGTGGAAAATTCTGGATGTGTCCTGTTCACCCATCTGCCTTACTAGCACTGTTCTTTACTATGAGTGCTAAAAAAAAAAAAGTTCAGTAGCTCTTGCCTTGTTTTATTCTCTTCATAGTATTAGAAATGTATCCCGTGAGAGAGAACATAGAAAAAGACAAATTAGAGAGTGAGAGAGAAAATGAGATGGGAGCACATTAGTTAGATTAAAAAATGACTTGCTCATCTCAAAATGTAGTTAATGAAGAGAGAGGAAATGGACCATTACTAGTGGTTTCCTACTTGTTCTAATGATCAGAACTTTTATCAACTATCTAGACTTATAGCATCTTTGCTGGTTAAGATTTTCTATTGACTGAAATATGATACTAGACATTGAGAAGGAATGCCAGGTTACTGTTAGATCAATTTGAATAACTGGTAAATATTTTCTATCCAACAAAATGTATAGTAACATGGGGAAGTGCTAGGTGCTACTCTGAGTAAAGAATTCAGGCTAGGTCTATGAGACAGGAGATCCTATCTTGGAAGAAGGTCTTAGGACATCATCATAGGTAATAGCCTCAATATGAGTTTTCAGTGCAGTTCTGTCACTAAGGACTAATGCAGTCTTTGGAAGTATGAAATGAAGAATATTAAATGAAAGCAGAGAATCATCTTGCATCAGTTAGCCATTACTAGAATACTGTGTCCAATTTTTCTGTCTTCATTTCAGATAGGATGTGTTCAAAGCATTCAAAGGAAAACCACAAAAATGACCTATGAGCTTGAAAAGCCTCACAGTATGAGGCTTAAGGAAGCTCAAGCTGTTCAGTTTATCAAAAAGGAAACTGAGGTCACTTAATTTCTTAGTTTAAGTAGTTACGTTTGGAAAAGATGCAAGAAAGTATGACTGGAAGGGGGGTTCCTGGGGAACTGAGTCCAGTCGCTGATAATGGGCACACATTTCAGTGCTGTAGAAGTGCTTAAGTGTCTAGAAGTTGAAATTAGGCAATTGCAGCATTGAAATAGTTTCAGCTTCAAGAATAACTAATCACTTGAATAGTTTACCAAGGAAGGTGGTGTTCTCTTCCTTGCTTGGGATCTCCTAAGGGTCTTTCTAGAACAGAGATGCTTAGTCTATGGCACAGAAAAGTGCTGTCACAGCTCCACATGTACAGTGAACTCTCTGAGCTCACTGGCCTGTCAACACAGGCCCTGGGCAGAGCCACTACTTCCACACTGGTCCAGAACCTAGGAGGTAATTATTTCTTTGCAACCCTTGGCCCATTTCTTATGCTTGTAGAGATAATAAATAAATAAAGATTGAGGACCGCTGTTCTAAAAGAATGCTTTATTCCAACTTCTGGGAAACATTCTACATTTAGTTTTCTGCGTTTTCAGTTTTTACTGATCTTTCACCAATACATCCCATGATTTTTTTTTTATTTGTTTTTTATTGCAGTTACTTGTTTTTAACTGATTTATACCTGTTTTTCAGTTCACTCAGTTCTACCAGGTACAGTAAAATCCCTGTTAACTGGCACGAGTGGGGAATGGCTGAGGGTGCTGGTAAGGTAAAAGTGCCAGTTACCTGGGGTGCAGGTT